GACATGCGTGATGTAAACCTGTGTGTCGTCTGCATAGTTATGGTAGCTGATGTTGTTGTTTTTTATTAACTGAGCAAGAGGGAGCATGTAGATATTGAATAGGAGGGGACCCAGGATGGACCCTTGGGGAACCCCACATGTGATTTTTGTCATCTCTGATGTAAAGTTGCCTACTGATACAATAAAGTCCCCGTCCTTTGAGTATGATTTAAACCAGTTGAGAGCTGTACCAGAGAGGCCGACCCAGTTTTCCAGGCACTCTAACAGGATGGAGTGATTGATAGTATCGAATGCTGCGCTGAGGTCCAATAGTACCAGCACTGTGGTTCTTCCGCAGTCATTAAAAACCTTGATAAGGGTGGTCTCTGTACTGTGGTGAGCACAGAAACCTGACTGGAACACAGCTCAGGTTTCACCACAGCAGTGGTTTGATATTTGCTCTTTTTAGGGACTGCAGGAAAACAACTGATAGAAGGGACGTGTTTATTATCTGAGTCAAATCAAATGCTATGACAGGCAAAACTTTCTTAAAGAAAGCTGTGGGTAGAAGATCAAGGCAGCAGGAGGAGGAACTTAGCTGCTGAATGATTTCCTCTTAGCTTTTGTAGTTTATTTGGCTGAATTGGGACATTTGGTCAAGATCAATTCCAGTTGGAGACAACCCTGGTACTGAACTTGATATGGATGTATAAACTGATTCACTGATAGTGAACCTGGAGTTTCTCCACCTGCGTTTAGCTTTTCGACACTCCCTTTTTTCACTTCTAACTGCTGGAGTACTTCTCCAAGGAGATGTTTTCTTTCCGAAAAAGACTTTCACTTTAATTGGAGCAATGCAGCTAATGATGTGTGAGACTTTAGACTGAAAGTTATCTACTAGCTCATCAACTGAGTTGCAGCCCAAGGTTGAAGTAGCAGAGTAAGCTTGAATAAAAGTTTCTGTGGCATTTTCGCTAAAGGTGCGTTTTCTTATGATGTCCCTTTGGCTAAACGAGTCCCTGGAAATGATGCCCTGATAGGTAACAGAAAAGTGATCAGATAGGGCAACATCAGTAACATTGACTTTAGAAATCTTCAGGACTTTAGTGATGACCAAGTCTAAAATATGTCCCTGTTTGTGCGTTGGTTGTTTAACATGTTGAGTTAAACCAAAGTTTCTATGTGTGTCACACAGTTCTTTTGCACTTCAGGGTTGTCAACGTGAAAGTTGAACTCTCCCACAATACAACAAACAAGTTTACTAGTGGTTGCTAGAATTTCTAAAAGTAGAATGGGAGGCAGATCTTTTAGTTATTGGGCTCCTCTCCTATGGAACCAACTACCAGTTTTAGTCCATGAGGCAGACACCTTGTCTACATTTAAGGGCAGGCTCAAAGCTTTCCTTTTTTGATAAAGCTTAGAGTTAGAGAGGCTTGTGTTATCCAGTGCTATCTTTATAGTTATGATGCTATAGGCTTAGACTTCTGGAGGACATAGAGACCCATTTTTCGTCATTTTGCTTCATTCTATCTCTATTCTCCCACTCTGCAGAATTTGTTAGTTAAATCCCTAATGTTATGCTCTCTCTGCTTTTTCTCATAGTAGCTTCGCCTTGTCTCTTCCTGTTTGGCTGTGACGCCATCCTGGAGAGAAATATCAGCTATGCTGCATTCAACACCTTTGTTTATAGATGTTGGAGATTGGCCTGTTTTTCAGTGTAGTCCTGTTTCTCTGGCTGACAGGCTGGATGTGCTCTTTTCATTCTCTGACATGAGAGCTGGCTTGTCTGCCTGGCTGTGTGTTTCCTGGATGGGGCTGCCTTTTAGAGTTGCTGTTTATATGTCTGCTTCTGTCTCCTTGAACCCCAGTCAGCTTCGGCAGATGGCCGCTCACAGTGAGCCTGGTTCTGCTGGAGGTTTCTTATTATTCAAAGGGAGTTTTTCCTCTCCACTGTAACTACAAGCATGCTTAATGTGAGGGATTGGCTTTGAGTCAATGCATCGATGCAAACAACTGGTTTTCCTTAGATGGAAAACTTTGCATCAGTTTGACTGTGTGATCTGGTGAACTGTAAAGTGCCTTGAGATGACATGTGTTGTGAATGGGCGCTATATAAATAAACTGAATTGTTTAGCCAAATTCTTTTGCAGGCTCTATAAAAAACACCAGCCCCACTATGCTCCACCCCCTGGTAAATAGGATCTAGAACCACCATTGATTCACAGAGATGTAAGTAAAAAAAAAAAAAAAAAAAAAAAAAAAAATATATATATATATATATATATATATATATATATATATATATATATATATATATATATATATATATATATATATATACTATACAATAAAAATGTAAAAAAAAAAAAATTAAAGGAACACTTTGTAATCAGTTTATAGCATCAGGTTCATTAAACTTCTGGGATATTGATTTGGTCAGGTAAGTAGCAGAGGTGTTGTTCATCAGTTTCAGCTGCTTTGGTCTTAATGAAATTAACAACAAGTGCTCTAGTGGGGCAACAACAAGACGACCATCAAAACAGGAATGGTTTTACAGGTGGAGGCCACTGACATTTTCGCCACTCATTTTTTCTGACTCTTTTTTTGCATTTGGCTAGGGTCACTCTCACTACTGTTAGCATCAGGTGCTACCAGGACCATGCATAGGTTGCACAGGCAGTCCAACTCCTCCAGGATTTCATATCAATATGTGCCATTGACAGAAGGTTTGCTGTGTCTCCCAGCACAATCTCTCAGAGCATGGAGGAGATTTCAGGAGACAGGCAGTTACTTCAGGAGAGCTGGACAGGGCCATAGAAGATCTACAACCCATCAGCAGGACCGGTATCTGCCCCTTTGTGAAAGGAGGAGTAGGAGGAGCACTACCAGAGCCCTACAAAAGGACCTCCAGCAGGTCACTGGTGTGAATGTCTCTGACCAAACAATCAGAAACAGACTTCACGAGGGTGGCCTGAGGGCCCGATGTTCTCTAGTGGGCCGTGTGCTCACTGTTGGCACCGTGGAGCTCGATTGGCATTTGCCACAGAACACTGGAATTGGCAAGTCCACAACTGGCACCCTGTGCTTTTCACAGATGAGAGCAGGTTCACCCTGAGCATGTGACAGATTTGAAAGGGTCTGGAAAATCCGTGGAGAACGTTATGCTGTCTGTAACATTGTTCAGCATGTCCGGTTTGGTGGTGGGTCAGTGATGGTCTGGGGAGGCATAATCATGGAGGGACGCACAGACATATACAGGCTAGACAATGGCACCCTGACTGCCATTAGGTATCGGAATGAAATCCTTGCACCCATTGTCAGACCCTATGCTGGTGCAGTGGGTTCTGAGTTCCTCCTGGTACATGTGGGGAGAGTATGCAGGCAGTTCCTGGAGGATTAAGGAATTGATACCATTGATTGGCCCCCACACTCGCCTGACCTAAATCCAATAGAACACCTCTGGGACATTATGTTTCGATCCATCTGACGCCGCCAGCTTGTACCTCAGACTGTCCAGGAGCTCAGTGATGCCCTAGTTCACATCTGGGAGGAGGTACCCCAGGACACCCTCTGTCGTCTCATTAGGAGCATGCCCCGACGTTGTCAGGCATGCATACACGCATGTGGGGGCCATATAAATTACTGAATACTATTTTCAGTTGCTGCAATGAAATTTTAGCAAAATGGACTAGCCTGCCGCATCATTTTTTCACTGTAATTTTTGGGGTGTCTTTAAATTCAGCCCCTTGATAATCTTCATTTCCATCAATTGATGTGGCGTCCTTTTGTTCCTAAAACATCACCCAGTCCATATCAGTATAAATAAACAGCATGATTTTTTCCCCCATTGAGATCTGATGTATTTTCAAAGTGTTCCTTTAATTTTTTTTGAGCAGTATATATATATATTTGTGCCCAAGCGATTCATTTCAATTCAGTTTATTTATATAGCACCAATTCACAACAAAAGTCATCTCAAGGCACTTTACAGATTGTCCCCAGTCTCCCATATTGCTATTGGACAGTGATCACAGGAAGTTAGAACTCAATTGTTTTACTCAACTAAGAGCAGCACTACTTTGAAATATTTTAATCAAGTTAAAGTTGAAAGTAGTTATTCCAGAAATTACAAGAAAAAGTTCCTCAAGTACTGAGTAACTATTGGCTCATAACATCTGATTTAATTTTTAAAATTATATAATCAAAAGGTAATTAGTGTAAATTTTGTGTAAATTCTGGTATTCCAAAATTAAACGAAACTTCAGATAACTGACATGATCACAAAATGCCTCAATTTAGCAGAAGAAACATCTGCCTAACATTTCAGGAGAAACAGCATAAAACCAGTCACCGAAGTAGGTTATATAAGGGAAGTATAAAAAAAAAACATGTCCAGGGACGATATCTATTGTTTACTGTAATTTTATCTGGATGTCTCTCTGAATAGAAAAGCCAGAAATAAAAAAAAGGAGAATAAATGTTACTATAATATAACTAAAGCAGAAATAAAAAGTGCAGTAAAGTGAAGTAACACTTTTCCTAACGATATATTTTGTCCCAGAAGTTACTCATGGTAATGTAAATGGGTAAAGTTACTAGCAATCTCTGTGATTTAACTTGTGATTTTTACTTGTAAGAAATTATTAAAATGTATGTATTTGATTGCTTTTGTCGTTTTGGAAAATGAAAAACCCAGAATAAAATAATTACAAATAAAATCCGATGAAGATTAATGGAGAGAATCTAATCAAAGTTTGAGAACTCAAAAAGTGCTGCTAAAGGCACAGTTTCAATGCTGGATCATTTAACTCTTTGTTATCAGGAAGTCCACGAAAAGCAAGTAAAAGCTTCGAGTTTTAAACTAAATAACCTTTTTCTTTAGGTTTTACTGTATGGCTATGTTTGTAGAGAATGATTGAGACCTTATTTCTGTACCAGCTAATTAATAATGCTGCAGCATATTGTGTATTTGTCACTTGCTAATCCTTGCATTGCTTTAACTTTAAGACTTTACGGATCAGGAAGTTGCCTCTCCGGCAGTCAGCTGCCACCCAGAGGTGTGCGGTAGCTGCAGACCCTTCAGGTAGAGCCATCCGGCCGGGGGAGGACGTCCACAGAGCCGCCGTCTGTAATGGAGAGCAACGGCAGCGTGTGCGCGACCGTAGGGAGTCGCCTGCACGACTCCTCCGAGTCGGACTCGGAGCCGGATGGGGGTCCTGCCCGGCCGGCGGGTGTAGACCCCTCGCCCGGTTCCTTCGCACGCACCCAAGTAATCCACAGCGGACACTTCATGGTGTCATCGCCGCACAGCGACTCTGCGGCGCGCCACAACAAGAGCGGCGGCTCTCTAAGATATGACTTTGACACGGTGAACAGGACCTGGTGCCAGACCTACCGGTACCACTCCGGTAGCCTAAGCATCGACCCGACACTGACACGCCTTTTCGAGTGCATGTCTCTGGCTTACAGGTGGGTTCTGGATCTGCAGAGGACAGGCTGAACATACCGCGGCTGACAGATTTTAAGGTTTATTTCTACCGCTGAAAAAGTCCTGAGTCTGCCAGACGGAACCTCTTTGTTGTCAGTACGTAGTTTAAATTAAAATAGCAAAATCTCGCTGAAAGATTCACATTTTATGCAGACTAAAATTAGCCTCTTCTTTATTATGAATATTTGAGCTTGACTGCGTAAAAGTATCTTTTCCAACAAATTTCCTATTTGAAGCGGTTAACCCAGGCTTATGTTGTCAGCCTCTTACACAACAGCTTGGAAACTCTTCACTGTAAACTGGACTTTGATTCCAGTTGGCAGGAATGGAAAGATTACAGAGAATCAGAGGCAAAGGGAAAAAGGTCACAGAAATGTGTTTCTTTACTTTTTATTTTTGCTTCTTTTCATATAATCATGGCACATAGCTGCATAAAACAAAATAGACACGCTAAAAAAAGTTATTCAGTTCGTAGTTTTGGGAACTTTTGCAGATAAAGTTAACAAAAAAAAAAAAAAAAAAAAAAAAAAAAAAAAAAAATATATATATATATATATATATATATATATATATATATATATATATATATATATATATATATATATATATATATATATATATAAATAAATTACAACAAAACAGCTGAACAAAATAGAACATTAATTGTGTTATTCCCCTGGGCTTTTAACTGACCAAAAGTGACTTGCAGCCATTTTATCCCATTAAAATCATCTTGAAAGTGATTTGCACAGCTTCCTAGCAACACCTGGAGCATCTCACATTAGAAACCTTCCCCTCAGCACTTTGCAGGCAGATGGATCTTAGAAAGAAAAAGGCAAACATCCTGTCAGAATTCTAATAAAACTTTTCTGTTAAGTGCTAATATTCATTTTCCGATGTTGTTCATCTACAATGTAACTCATATTTGACCCAGTGTAGTGTTTATTTTAAAGTTACTTTCTATTTCTGTTTACCACAGTGGGAAAATAGTGTCTCCCAAATGGAAGTCTTTCAAGGGTCTGCGCTTGCTTTGGAGGGATAAGATCCGTCTGAACAATGCAATATGGAGAGCTTGGTTCATACAATGTGAGTCTGCTTGTCTTCCCTTCTTCTTCCAGCTGCCGCTGATTTCTGTGAAAATAAAGCCTATCTTTGGGATCTCTGTTCCCATGCATAAAGATGTTTTGGGCATTCACTCACTTAACATAGACCTACGTAATCCTACAATAACATGATATTTACAGCTGATTTATTAAAAATGCTTTTCAGTAAAAGTCAACAGTGATAACTCCAATAACAAACGATAATTTCATTCAAAATGTATTTATCAAAAATGATTAACAATTCCTGTAATGAATGAATAGCACAATGAAAGAAATAATGTCTAATCTAAACATCCCTCACTTAACAATAAAAGTTAACAATAACTCTCAACTCCCAATAACAGATGATACTCAGCCTCAGCAATGAACGAAATAATGTCTGTTCTGTAGACTATTGGAAAAAATAAATTAACAAATGAGCTAATTAACAAAAAATACCTCTTGTGTAGCAAAAATTATTCAAAATGTACCAAAAACGAAAAAAACATATCAATAGACTATCTTTACTTTCGGTGTTCAGGTGGCTTTTCAGATTCCTTGCACCTCCATTGGACACCGAGACATATGTGCCTGCTTTGCACACTGTGCACAAGGCCTCCCGTTTGTCCGTAACTCTTTTGTAAATCGTCGGTAAACATACATTTGCGCTTTTGCATGTTGTTGGCGTACTGACAGCCACGCAATCTATATTCTGATTAAGAACAGGGCTGCCTGCACTGACGCGGCTCAGGCATTACGTCACACGCAGCGTGGTGCGCAGTGCCCTAGTGCCTGTAAATATAATGGTCCAATTAAGGTAATTTAAAAAATCAGGACATTTCCTCACTTTCTAAAAAAAAAGCAGGACGCCCGGGACAGGACATGAAATATGGATATGTCCGGGAAATACGGACGTTTGGTCACCCTACAATAATATAAATTAAGGATTTGTATTTGTTCAGCTAATACATAAATGTGGCATCAAATCTTAATCTGTAAGAAAACAAGTTTAGAAGTTCTGAATACATGCCAGAGTTACAACTTTGCAAAACTACAAACATACAAAACTACAAAAGCACAAATGTATGACTCTTCCAAAAAAAGTTAAAAACAATCCACTGGCCTTTGTTTGCCAAATTTGAAGATGTTTCGCTTCCCACCCAGAAAGCTTTCTCAATTTAAAATGTCTGGAGTAGCATTTACCTCCAGGCTTTTATAGAGTAGACCAACAAAAGCCTTGTTATGGCTTAGAAAACATGCAAAATCAACTGTAAACAGGTCCACCCCTGTGTAATGGGCCATGCGTCTGTGGAGAGGTTTTTGGTTTCTCCAATATAAAGATCAGAGCATTCCTCACTGTTTTAAACTGCACACACACAATAATCTTAGGTCTGGGGGTTTTGCCCTTAGAAAGCACTAGCCTTTGTTTAAAGGTCTTGCTTGGTTTGAAATGTAGTGGGATTTTGTGTTTGGAGAAAAGCCTCTTCAGTTTTTCAGAAATTCAAGCAACTTAGGATGGCGATGTTTTTGTGTTTAATCTTCTCACTGTTAAGTTCTGCTGCATGTCTTTAGGATTTCCTTGCTGATCTATGACCTGGATGACTGAGGATCTTTCCTACCAAATTTATGACTTGTAAATTTGTGATTTTGTGTTTACATTACAGGTCTTTACAAATTCACACACAGTTGTGTGTCTGTATTCATCAGGTTTATTGGTATTACATTACATGTAGCTTCCTTAGGCCTGGGTACCGAACATCGGTTCTTTTATGGTACCGACCGAAATGCTTCAGAGTATCAAAACATGCCTCGTCTTTCGGTGCCAAGTTTCAATGATTGGCTGTAACACTTAACGTGATTGCGTCATCCAGGGAAAATACATAGGTGGTCACACCTACAGCCAGGGTTCATGTGTATCTGTTGTGAACTGGTTTCGAGCATCCTGGAACCCCTTTAAAATGCCCCCCAGGTCAAAAGTGTGGCTTCACTTTATTAAGACTGATGCCAATATTGCGCAATGCAATACATTGTGCACGGAAACAATTTAAGAGCAGAAAGAATCGATTCATGTAATTTTTTTTCTCCAGTCTACTTTTATCTATTTGCTCCTGGGCGTAATGCTTTCTCCCGTGCTGCGGTGCGCTAAATATATTTTGCCCTCCTAAATCGCTTCCTGGTTATACTCTCACAGCAGTGTGTGCAGTAACCTTGACACAGACATTTTTAAATTATGCTCAGTATTGAAACGTGGTCTGTGCTACACACTTTGGGTCTAGATACGGCCGAAGGGGCGAGGAAGTGGGGGCGAGTTTAGTCTGACGACGGAGGGACATGAGGGCAAAATAGAGCGGAAATCCAGGTGTAAAAAGGGTCCCAGCGTTCTCGCGCACCTCGCTCTTCTAGCTGGTCAAACTTCACGAGTTGTTTTCCGCAATATCGGCAATAAAAACAAAACAAGCTGGCCTCCTGTCTGCGGCACTGTTTGCGGTCAGCTACAATTTGGGAGAGGTGCATCAGAGCGTCTCTCAAGGGGGCGGGGACGTCTGGAGCCGATGTATTGAATTGCACTCATTGCACTGATTTTCTGCAGTATTTTTGCAGTATTTTTTGATGCAACTTTTCTACTTCTGTTATTTGCTGTTTCTAAAAAAAAAATGCATAACGATATTACAGCTTTCATTGATTTATTTCAAACTTGAAACTTTGTTTAGCCTGTAATACAGCGGTGGGCAATTCCAGTTCCTGAGGGCCGCTATCCTGCAACTTTTACATGTGTCTTTGTTTCAGCACACCTGAATCAAATAATTAGATGATTGAGAGGACTCTGGAGGAAGTGACTGCATACTAAGGAGGTAACCAAGCCATTTAATTCAGGTGTGTTGGAGCAAGGATGGATCTAAAAGTTGCAGGATACCGGCCCCCAGGAACTGGAATTGCCCACCTCTGCTGTAATGTGTAAAAAAAAAAAAAAAAATAATAATAAAAATTTGAAAAAATTAATCGAATCGTGGTGTATTCTTGAGTATCGAAAATAATTGAATCGTTGGGTCAGGAAATCGATACTGAATCGAAATGCCATGATGGATGTGATTTACACCCCTACTGCGTTCACAGCGGACACAGCAGGAGCAGCAAAATCGCGTCTGCTGCTTCCTTTTTGCTGCTTGTACCAGTTTCTGACGCGTGGCTGAAGCAGCTTTGCTGCTCTGGCTGCGCGGTTGAAAAGTGGCTCTGACACGCGTTGGGTGGAGCTGCTCTATCCTTTATTTGCCTTGCAGCTATATTTGCTGTGATCAGTGAGAATAAAGTAGTTTTATTATTTTTTTAAGATGGAAAATCCACACGAAAACTTAATCAATGCAGTCACTTCATCCAGATTACCATCCTGCCTTCCAATATTATTTCTGTCGGAGCCGCTCAGACCCCCACATACCGGCGGTGCGCTGTCAGTAGGATTCCCATTCAACGTTTGTCTCCTGAGAACGCAGACATGTTAATTTTTCTAAAGAAAAAGTGCTAAGTAAAAAGGTCCTCACAATGTAACAGTGAATTTTAGATACTGACTTGTTGACAACTGTTCTTCTTAACTGAAAAAAAAAATTTTAATGTAAGAGGAAAAATGTAAATGGAAAAATCAGAGCTTAAAATAAAACTCAAGATTTGTGCTTTATTATGTTGTTTAATTTTCTTTTTCTTCGAATTGATATTATAAAACTGGTATCGAAAAAAGTATCGTTCAGGAACCGGTGTCGAAGTGAAGGTATTGGTACCGGCACCGGCACTGAACATTTTTGAATGATACCCAGCCCTAAGCTTCCTGGTCTATCTAAAGGTCAACCAACTTTTTATTCAGCATCATACCTGGATACAGTTGCTGGCTTTTATTGTTTGCCTCTTTCAACTGATTTATCGTCTCTTAGCTGACATACTCTAGCCTGGGTGCCATTCCAAACTTAGTCCCGCCCACAAAGTTTGAGGTCGGGGAAGTTCGGTCTGGCTCTGCTCCATAGTAGCGCGAGTATTATCGCCCACTGTCAGGCGATCCAATCAAATTGTCAGGGCGGGCTTTATACGATGATGGACAGATGACCAACAGTCACGTAATCAACCACGTGACCAATGTGCGCTTGGGTGACAACAATAATGGCTGCCGCTGGAGAGTTTAGGTGAGTAGATTCTGCTATTAGGTCTGTTCTAGAAGATATCGACAGCAAATTAATTTTAAAAGAGGAACAGAGAAACGCGATCAAGTCTCATCTTCTTATTATAGGCGTGCAATTGCACGCTTTGATTTTTGTGGACAACAACTATGCCTCGCTTAACATACGTCACGCACTCCGTTGCTCTTATTGGTTGTAGATCTATCCAATTGAGTGCAGAGGCATTTTTTTTCCTGGTTCGTTCGAAACACGCCCCATAATCACAGCTCTATGTAGCAGTATCAGACTCATATTCTGACTAGAATTGAGTCGGACTACGTCAGGCTGGACATACTCATCCTTTATCATCATTATGTCTTCACATGACTCACTTGTCCTTTCTGTCTCCTTGAACCCCAGTCGGCCTCGGCAGATGGTTGCTCATACAGAGCCTGGTTCTGCTCAAGGTTTCTTCCTATTAAAAGGAAGTTTTTCCTCTCCACTGTTGCTATAAGCATGCTTGGTCTGAGGGATTGCCTTTGAGTCCAATGAGTCGATGCAATCAACTGGTTTTCCTTAGATAGAAAACTTTTAATTAATCTGACTGCATGATCAGGTGAACTTTAAAGTGCCTTGAGATTACATGTATTGTGAATTGGCACCATATAAATAAACTGAATTGAACCGTTCTCCTGCTCTCCAGCGTAGTCAAAAGCTTCCTTCCTCTCTCCTTAAGACGTGAACAGCTTTGGTCTTATAGTTTCTTCTGTCCCTGTCATGGTGAGGTCTGTTTCTAAAAAATGTGCGTGGTGGGCTCAGACTTTTCTTCAAGAAGTCCGTTTGACTTTGACCCACCACTCGGCTAGGCTAGCAACTATTAGCAATGCTTGTTAGAAATCAGACATAGGCAGTGTGGAGTCATCTCCATGTCATGTATTGGTTCTACCCAGCCAATTAACCAGGTGAGTCCAATCTGCACAGGTTAATTCACGGTGAAGATTGGACTCACCTGCTTCAGTAGCTGGGTAGAACCAATACATGACATGGAGATGACTTGTTGACTCCATATTGCCCATGTCTGTTAGAAATGGTCTCCCTTTCACTCAGAATTGGGCTTCAACGCTGCCACCATGTTTCACTCTGTTCTTCATACTTATTCTCAAGTTAGACAGATGGACAAGATTATTTCTCAACTAAACTTTATTGATGTTCTCCTAAACCTCATACAACTCCAGCAACCAACACATCTGGCACGTTCCACACTAGACATTAGTCTTTTAACAGATACAACATGTGATAAACGAGGATTTTATTGCTGTCATTTTACAGTGCATGCCAACAAATGTGTCTCTATCTGTATTCGTGGTTAGGGCTGGGTACCGAACTTCGGTACTTTTATGGTACCGACCGAAATGCTTCGGTTCTACAGAGTATCGAAACATGCCTCGTCTTTCGGTACCAAGTTTCGGTGATTGGCTGGAACACTTAAGGTGATTGCGTCATCCAGGAAAAATACACAGGTGGTCACGCCTACAGCCAGGGTTCATGTGTATCTTTTGTGAACTGGTTGCAGCGTCGCGGAACCCCTTTAAAATGCCCCCCAGGTCAAAAGTGCGGCTTCACTTTATTAAGACTGATGCTAATAGTGCACAATGCAATACATCGTGCACGGAAATAATTTAAGAGCAGAAAGTCGCTCTGTGTTTGACTGCAAGAAGAGCGGACCGCAGCCAGCGCGACCATCCTCCTCTCAGCAGCCCGTGGGCAGAGCAAAGCCAGAGCGGAGTGAATCATGCTGCTTTCAAACTGGACGCAGCAAGAGCAGCAAAATCTCGTCTGCTGCTTCATTTTTGCTGCTTGTACCAGCTTCTGACGCGCTGCTGAAGAAGCTTTGCTGCTCTGGCTGCGCGGTCGCAAAGTGGGTCAGACGCGCGTTGGGCGGAGCTACTCTATCCTTTATTTGCCTTGCAGCTATATTTGCTGTGATCAGTGGGAATAAAGTAGTTTTATTATGTTTTTAAGTGGGAAAATCCACCTGAAAACGTAATCAGTGCAGTCAGTTCATCCTGCCTTCAATATTTCTGTCGGAGCCGCTCAGACCCCCCCCATACCAGCGGTGCGCTGTCAGTAGGATCCCATTCAACGGGCTTGTTTGTCAGACATGGTAATTTTTCTAAAGGAAAACTGCTAAGTAAAAAGGTCCTCACAATGTAACAGTGAATATTAGACACTGAATTATTTATTTTTTTATGTAAGAGGAAAAATGTAAATGGAAAAACAGAGCTTAAAATAAAACTCAAGATTTGTACTTTTTTATGTTGTGTAATTTTCTTTTTTTTCGAATTGATATTATAAAACTGGTATCGAAAAAAGTATCGTTCAGGAACCGGTATCGAAGTGAAGGTATCGGTATTGGTACCGGAACCGAAATTTTTTTAACAATACCCAGCCCTATTCGTGGTATAAAATCATCTTCTTCAACTAATGGATTATAATTTAATATATTCATAAATACCATTTTAAATTTTTTAAAGTACATTTGAACCATTTTTTCTTAACAAAATTAAGTTATTGAAGCTGAAATATATTCTTAGATCTTTATTACTTGTCGTTAACTAGGTAACTGTGTGTTTGTTTTTTCCCGCAGTGTCCTATAAAACTAATCCTTTCTCCCTTTTTAAGAAATTCCTTTGTCCTTGTTTTAACCCTTTAAAACCTAAGCCCTGAAATAACTGGTGAAAATTTTATATATTTAATGTAACTTATTTCATAGAACTTAAGTGTATAAGTTATTTGAAATTTATACCTTAGAAATTTACTTACAATCTATGATGGATTGTTTGTTCTCTGTGTGTCTTATTGTAATTAGTTTTTTTTTTTTAACAAAAATATTACAGTGATGAAATAGAGGTCTTAAGAAATCAAATATCATTGAAATACATGTTAAGGGGTTAAAACCTAAAAAACACAATATTTTTTTGTTCAATAAAATGGAAAAACATCCTACAGAAGATATTCAACAACAATGATAAGTTGCGTTTTATTTAAAGGTCATGTTTCCTATGTGGCTAACTTAAAGTTAGCTGGGCTCGGGGTAAAACTCTTTGGATTTAAGGGTGGCAGACCACTCAGGTTAGACTGATGAGGTTAGACATCAAAATGATGCCTTCAGCATTAGGAAAATGTTTATTAGATAATCTACCACTTTACCCTCTTCTAATGCAAACTGTATAAATCTGAAACATCTGTATCCTTAGATGTGGAGAAGAGGAAAAACCCGGTGTGTGGGTTTGTCACCCCGCTTGAAGGCTCCGAAGCAGAAGCTCATCGAAAGCCTGAGGTGAGTCACTGAACTATTATCACCCTATTGAGAGTTTCTTCTTTTCTAAACATTGATTTTCTCTGGTTTTTGATTAACAGGCAATAATTTTGGAAGGCAGCTACTGGAAGAGGCGGATTGAAGTGGTGATTAAGGAGTATCACAAGTGGAGGATTTATTATAAAAAAAGGGTGAGAATGAATCCATATATTTGGACTGGAAATTCAAATGGTCAGTTTACTGTACCTTATCGAGGGAGTGAATTCTTGCGTAGTCTCATAGAGACATAATTAAATATTCAGTGTGTTATCAAGGGAGGTACATATATTGATGACTTATCTTGTTTTTATTTGTTTTAAGATATAATGTTATTCAATTCTACTTGTTAACTCTCCTGTCCCGTCCATAGTTCCCATGTGGTGCTTCCAAATGTACCCCCACAGTGAGGTCACTATCCTCCAACATTATATGGAAGCCTAGACCCTTCCAAAGGTTTAAAGGACAGCAGCTGATTTAATTTATGCTTTTTCTAACTTTTTATAATTTAGATGTGGCAGTTAGCAGGTTAAAGCTCCAGTGTGTAATAATTACATGGATTTACTGACAGAAATTCCAAATATTATACACAAATTTAATTTATTTTTATGTACAAATTGAAAGTCTCAACCTTCATGAATGCATTGCCTTAGAACTACTATTTATAACGACATAGTAGCGGGTCACTGGGCAGACATCTTTTTGCTATTGCAGCTCAGAGTTAATAAACTAGGGACTGTAGAGATCGACATTATGTCATAATGTTAAAAGTCAACAGTGACTTTACTTAGTTGCGCCCAAATTTTTTCATTTTATGTGTTTCAGCTATAAATGAAGAAACTTTAATATGTAGCATCATAAAAAAAATAAGAAATGGATAGAAAACAGAACAAAAGAGATGAAGACCTAGGAAGCTATTTAACTGTTAAATTCTTCAACGTGAGAATTTCAAGAATGTTCCTGGATCAGTGGTTCTTTGTTTGTGAATCAATTCTCATATTAATTGAAAAAAATCAATTCCTGTAACCAAAGACCATTAAAAAAATAAAAAACTGATTTTACCTTATCCTTCTGGCTATCATTAACCACCATTACTGTATTATTTTCTGTTGAATGTTATTTTAATCTGAAAAACTAACACAAAGGGAAAAGACAATTAGGAGAAATTTATTGATACAATTTCTTTGTCTTTGGCAATCAGACCTCGGCAGAAAACATAGCACTTAATATTGAGAGATATGCATGAACAAGAGCAAAGAATAGGGATGTTTCCCCCCAGACCTGAAACTGGTGGTGGAGAGGAGATAGATGAAGTTGGTCAGTCTGTAGACTGCTGGTTAGCGAGACGGTATGCTGAGCTTTATGGTGAGATCCATTGGACTGCGTGAGCCTTACTCAGGGACCTGGAAAATGGAAGTCCAGTTTGGATAACACAGGTTGAGAGAACCCGTCCATGATGAGCAAGCATGAAGCGACAGTGGAGAGGAAAAACTCCCCGTTGGGAAGAAACCTCTGGCAGAACCAGGCCCAACATTGCGGTCTTCTGCTGGACCGGTTAAGATGAGACAGGGAACACAGTGAGAGTCCGGGAGGAATGACACTCTGATGAAGCTTCAGCTACGAAGGTGGAGGAGGGGCTGGAGGTGGATTGAAATGGTGTCATCTGAATTAAGTGACAGCGCTTCCGCCGCCCACTCACAGGAGCAGACAGGTGCATATCGGAGGCCTTTTAATATGAACTTTGGATGCCGATTGGCTTTCGTGGAGGTGTGGTTCAAAGATGATTGGCTGTGCGCAGGTGGATGCATGAAAAGCAAATGAGTTTCTTCAGTTGACCTTCCGTCTAGGCTCCATAATACTTTCTTTAATATGTAGCATGAAATGTTATTCAGCTAGAAAAATGTTTTGAATACCCGCAATCCAATTTAAGATCCAAAGATTTGATCTCAAGAATTGAAAACTAATAGATTTGTAAAGTTTAAATTGATATGCATATATGGAGTAAACTTTGTTCCATTGTTATTGCAAGCAAAAAACCCTTTTTTGTGAATAAAAATGTGGAAAAACACAATCCATAAATAAAACTTTGAAAAATGTCATAACCAAAAAAAGGTTTTGACAGTACCTTTTCTATTTCCTCAGATATTGCTTTTTTACAATGATTTTTGCAAATATTTTTTTTATAAATGCTAGATTTTAGGAGCTGATCACCAATAATAAAAATCAGTATCTGCTGATCGCACTGATCACAACATCAACTCCATAAAGTCTTCAACTGCCTTCTCATGTACATTGTAGCATTAGAAATTCACAGATGAGAAACTATTCTGAATTAATCATGATTTTAGTAGAGATGAGCAGAGATGAGCTTTTATTCAAAATAATGTTGACAAAGGATGAAATAATGACTCCTCTTAAGATGTTTGTAGGTGGCTTTTAGAAAGGTCGTTTTAATTTAGCCATAGAAGGACTGTTTCATCATCCGGTTAAGCTGCTCTCTCTTGTTATTTTTTCAACATTTATTTTTAATCTTTTTTTTTTGAGACTGAGTTTCATATATTTCAGTTTTTTTTCTTTAAATTGCTTTTCAGGGCAATCACATTCTCTTCCCTTCTGGGGTCAGAAGATCCATTTCTATCGATCTGCATGGAGGTTTCCCTTCAAGTCCCAATAAAAACTGTCATTTTTATTGGGCTCGAAGGGAAGAAAACAATTTAAGGAAGAATGCATTTTTTAAGATTCAATTTGAAAATACAAATCAGAAAAAAATTGAAAATATGAAATCTAAAAAATATATATATTTGTAAACAGCAGTTACTCTCAAAACATTTCTGTTTCATGAAGAATTTCTTCAAAGTTTCACTTTTAGCTTTTACATTTTCATCTATAAAACCTGCTCTTTTGGAACTAAATTTCCTGCATACCCTGCCCGTCTGCGCATCATCAACTACACCAAGCAAGTGAATGTCTGCTGTCGCCACATGTTAATCCTGAACGATATACTTCTATAAAGTCGATGACTGGATCTAGTCTGCAGTGTTTCCTGTTATGAAAAAAAGAGTGCGTTGTGATGAAATGTGTCGAGAATTGTCTATATATAAATTAACTGAGCTGAACAAGGCTAATATGATGTTTTACTCCATATTGGTTCCCCATTGTCATTTTTTGACATATTGATTCACTTTCTCTTATTTTAAACATATTACTTCTGAATTAAGCTGTATCACCTCTCTGTTTGGGTTTTGCAGCTCCAAAGGAAGAAGGATGATATTCTGTCAATGCTGCAAGAGGTAAGGTTTTCTGACAAGTCATCTTTTAAATGTTTCCTACAGAGCCTCTTTGTGCTTGTTTTGGAAGTACACTGATTTTGTCCATCGGAGGCTAAATCCTTTCGACTGATCTGATCTGCCTTGTTTGGGCTGCTGACCTGCTTATCATTATTCACCTCTGAATGCATTGTAAGAACAGTAGGACTGACTCTCCTGTTAACTAGATGAGGGGGGAAAAAAAGGAGTAAACAAGGGCAAAACCACCTAAGCCATGCGCCATAGCGTGACATTCATAAGCAATTGGCACACTGATTACCAGGAGCTCTCAGCTCTTGTGCATTTTTAGAGGGTTTTAATCTCAAATTAAGTGAAACAGCTTCAAAATTTTATGTCTTTTTTATGTTGCCTATATGCCATAGTGCCCTATTAGATATAAGAAGCAGTGGTACAGTTTGGTTTGCTAGTGACGCCATAGAATGGCAAAAACCCAGAAGCGTATTTGTGTGTCGGAGAAGTAGTAGTGAAGTAGGGGGAGGGGCTCATGAATGACAGTCCTGCTGAAAATATAACCGTCTGATGGGGTAAGATAACTGTCATTATAAACACATGCTTAAGTGTTTGGATTCATAAATATAAGTCAACTAATTGTGAATGAATTTAAGCTTTGTATTTGTTCACTGTTTTCAACCATCACCTAAACATGACAGCAGCTGTTTTATCTGTGAGAAAGTTCTGAAGCTACAGCTTTGCAAAAGGAGAAGTCCAAATCACATGTCCAGGAATAGGAATCATACATTTATGAGTACAAATCTCAAATTTACTTTTAAAGATCACAAATTAGAGAGTGCAGATCACAAATGTAAAATTAGGAATCTCAGGTTTATGAGTACAAAGACATTTATGAGTAGGATTCACAGATTTATGAGCATCAATAACACATTCAGGATTAGGAATCATAGATTTCTGAGCAGTCCTTACCACTTGTGATGGTGATGCACCTGAAGGTTGTACGCACACCAGCTTTAAATGAAAAAAAGAAAAAAGATGAAAACAGAACCAATGTAATGTTATTTATTAGCTGAAATGTATTTACATTAAATGTGCAGTATTAGATTTGATCCTCGTTTCGGTTTTGCGTCTTCTTCACCTTCTTCTTGTTTAATGCCGGTTGGGGCTCAACTTCTGGTGCATTACTAGCGCCATCTGTTTAGAAGTGCTAACAGCTATATCAGCAGATTTTTAATCATAGTTGTAAACTTGTTATTTTTACATGCATTTTTGGCAAAATTGCAAGTTTTTATTTGTAGCTTTTAAATATGTAGTCTCACAGATGAAACAATTAATGTGACGTTTCTTGAAGAGCTGACAAGAACCATATCTTGAAGTTATTCACATTTATTATAAAATGCACATTTATTACAATTCAGACATATATGCACACTTTTTATAGCATACATACTCAATGAGGCAGAAAATAATACAAGCTTCCTTATGGGCTGAAAGCCTAACCCCCACCCCCAATCACAAACACACGCTCACCCACACACACACACACACACACACACACACACACACACACACACACACACACACACACACACACACACACACACACACACACACACACACACACACACACACACACACACACACACTGCCCACGGCACGAGTTAAAAATTAAGAATAAGAACCCTGCAGTAATGACTCTGTCTCCAGCCATCCATGTTATCATGCTCTTTGTGGCACTTAAAACGGAACACATCAGCAGGAGGTCAAAGATCGCTAAACTGGGTCTTTATGTTCCTCTGTGTTATCTGGCCTTCCTTGAAACAACTTGACTCGAGCGTGTGGAAAAACACACAAGCCATATAAAAGGGTTGTTTTTAATCAAATTCAGGTTTGACAGTCGTCGTTACGTCTGTCCGACTTAACCCCAAATCTGTTTGACGATCAGTGCAATCATTATTTCCAGAAATTGTTTTTCATTTTTCATGTGTCTTCGTTCCAAATGATAAAAAAAATCTGATACTTTGCTTGGTGGCTTTGAAGCAGAACCAGAAAGGAAAAGAATTATCACTCATTTTGTGAGTTTTATCTGACTCTCCTTAAAGATATTTAAAGTAGAAATATACAAAAAGGAAAATGACAGTATTTGTGAGAGGTATATACATATTTTTTTTTTAAAGAAGGAAGACATGGTTTGTAGCATTGGTGCAAATATGAATGTTACTGTGTGCTTACAGAGAGTCTGCACAGAGGAACTATCCCTTATGGCTAGTTTTTGTAAACGGCTTTCTGAAATGCTCCCAGTTGATGTAAAGGTTTAAATGTTTTGTGTCCAGGATATGTGTGGTCTGCAGAGATGTTTACTTCCCTTCTCCTAACCTCGTCCTCTTTGGAGGGAAGCTCACTCCTACGATGATCCTCTATGCAGACCTGATATATCTTGTAATTATTCACGCATCCACTCCTTGTGATGCACCAGCGAAACAAACCCACAGCATTGTGCTAGCGCCTCCATTCCTTAATAAATCCCTCTGATGCATGAATTATGAAAGCCTTGATCACAATTTTTTCTCAAGGGTTTTTCTTATTCTTAGGACATGAAAAAAAATGTTTAACTTTTTTTCCCAAAAATATTGTTGTTTTTGAAGTTACAGATATGTCCACTGGAGTGGACTATGCGCACATGAGAACTCAATATAAAATATTATGAATTTATAAAAAAAATAATGATCTAGTATTTTGTTGTAAAAAATGCAGACCATTGATTCATTTAATGCTTTGAAAAATATTTCCACGTTTTGTTTAATTTTTTACAATATATAGGCACAATGTTTAGAACTGAATAAGGAAACCAATGACACTCATAGCTGACTAAAGCGACTGAAATTCCTCAGGATCTGCTGCTGCCTCGAATGTCTCCTGAAGTGTACTTAGGAAGGGTCTTATAATGGGGAGCCTATATGTGTTTGCTGGGCGGTAAGCAAAGTTATTTACAAAGTGGAGGTACCTTAGGATTTGCTCATATCTGTTCACAGACATGGCATTATCAATTATTTCAATTCGTAGTCCATCTTCACTTGACAAGTACATTACTGCCCTTCAATACCGAATATACCCCATGATCAAGTTGATCCCTAAAAATGTTTGCATTTCATCTCCTGTCAGATATCCTTTCCCTTTCTGAAGAGCATACAAGTTGGTGTTTTGCACTATGTCATCAATCAGATGAGCTGGAAACAGATGTCTGAAACAATCCATAGGATCTCTTCCCTCCACATTCAATTAATATACACTCTCCTAGAAAAGAAGGCAAGTCTCCATCAAAGTCATTGTTTTGGAATTTTCCAGATATATTTATGGGATTCAGTACGGTCAGGTGCCCTGTGCCCATCATCCTCAGCGTCCTGATCATGCTGACCTTCCTCTGTATCCTGGCCCTCATCACCCTCACTTTCCTGTTGGGGACCTTATTCTTCACTGTGTTTGAAGTCTAAAATATAAATCATTGGTATAGTCATTTCAAGAAGGGTAAAACAAAAGTTAAAAAAAACAATCCACTGGACTTTATTTTCCAAGTTTGAAGACATTTCGCTTCCCATCCAGGAAGCTTTTTCAATTCAAAACAGTCACACAAACTACAGCTAATCTGCAGAAAGTACACACAAAATACACTAAAATGTAAATTTTAAATGAATAGCTTATATGTATAACATTAAAACACTGAATTATTAGCAAAACCATTACAATACACAGAAAAAGCAATATATGACTTATGTTGAAAAAAATTTAATGCCTGATGCATGACGTCCACTTCATTGGACACATGGTTAATCGTAATTTGCTACAAATTAAACAAAAAAATATATATTTTTAATTGATAATATCCTTCATTAGGTGTTACTGTAAATCATTATATTTTTTTTAACCTGTTGGGCTCTTTTACAATAAGTGGATTGAGAGAATTTGCCAGCACTGGTCGACAGGGGTTGTGTTTGTTGGCCATCTTGGATTCAGATTAAATTTACTTGCAGTTACAATGACTGACCACTAAAATGACCTCAATGGAGTGGGGCAGCAGAGAGCGTTCTAGACACTAATATGCAGTTTCACTATAGAAACCATAGAATTAAAGAGATATTTACTTTGTAGTAGCTGTCCACTACAGTGACCACTATGCACCAGATGGTGCACCAGCGAAACAAACCCACAGCATTATGCTAGTGCCTCCATTCCTTAAAGTTGGTGCATTTATTATTTTTGCTGAAAATTTAAGGTCTGGCTAAATTCTTAGAGACAAACTCCCTTGGTTATTCATCATTTATAAAAAAAAAAAAAAAAACTTATTGCACAAGGGAAATACTAAAGTCGGCGTGGTCATCTTGTTGAAGGCTTGGAGAATCATTTGACTTAACATAGTCAGGCATCCATCCCCAAAGCCCTGGTGGCTAGTGAGGGTGAAGACAGAGTTTGACAAACATTGAAATTCACAATCTTAAACAGAAGCAGAACTGAAGACCCTGGGCCTTTCCTGGTCTGTGGCTGTGTCCGAAAGTGACTATAGCCATGATAGAACGGCTGCCAGAAAATCGATTGCTTAAGATCATCTAGATGATGCAGAGATGGTTAACACACATCTTACCTATGTGCGTTAATGGTGCTGCATCAACAGGTGACTCATATTCTGCTGTTACTTATGCTGTTGTTATTATTTATCATTACCCTGTAATGATCAATAATAATTGAAAGGCTACTTGAATATACTAAAGTAAATATTTTAATTAGGTCTATATTTTTTAGCCTTTTCGTTTATTACAGAATAACTTCTGTAGCCAATGTGAAATAATAATTCTTGGTGAGGTGCTTCTTTACTGTGCTTATGTAGAAGTCACATTTATACACCCCCTCCTCCATGCCGACCACAATCTGGTGCTGCTAAAGTGGGAAATTTTCTCCTGTTTCTACTTTGCTTTGGAACTTTTTTCTCTGGATAATTTGTTCCTCTTGTCCTTGAACTC